TCAATGCTGGTTGGATGGTGCGACCGAATTTGTTGAGAAGGCTTGGTGGATAAATGTTTTGAGGTTTATCGCATTTGTCGTCACGGCATTCTCCCCTCTCATTCTCATAAAATTCACAAGAAAACACCCACCATTGATTGTGAATAACGAAACATTTGTTGAAACTAAAAGTGACATACCACTTGGCGTTCATTATTTCCTCTTTCATTCGTGGAGTGACAGAAAATGTTTTGTTACGCTGAGAACCCTATTTTACGTTATGTTGCTGACTTTATTACCACACAGTCGATGGGCCGTGTACCTTGTTTTGGAAGGGAAGGCCTTCATCCGTCGATTGAACTGCACATTCTTCCATAACTTCTCTTCCCTTGATACGATACTTATTGTAACATTTGTTGTGGTTATGATCTTCTGCTTTTGGATATCAACAGTAGCCTTTATGATGATGTCTTCTAAAGAGCAATCTCCAGGAGGCAGAAGTTCCTTTGTTGAATTTATCCGATCACTTTGGACTATACCAAGGACCAGGTGGACCATCCTGCATCAGTTCGGCCCTCTAGATCTCCCACCCTTAATAGAACATTCTGGTTCGGAGTTAAACAAGTTTTGTGGTTATGCTCTGCGTCGCTTCCAAACACTCTTCTATCCTCCTCTCTGGTCTTCGTTCTTCACACACAATGGTTGGCAGTCATTGTGTTGGTTTGTCCCATTCTTGATATCATTATTATTCTATTCAATCCCTTTCTTATATATACCTTTTCAACCATTGGTCGATGTTAACGGTCCAATGGATACGAATACCCCTATAATGAAGCCCGACAATAAAACAGAACGGTCGTCTCATTTCATCTATATTTGTACTTGCAGCCATTTCCCTTCGATCAAGAACTTCTTGAAATTTGTAATTTGCTGTTCCATTATGGTTTTCACAAACCTTTCAGCAAGTCTATTTATCATCTACCTGATGGAGATTACTGCACACACTACCATAGGTCTCTTGATCAACTACAACACTATGCAAGGTGCCATTTACGCAGCTACTTTATTTGCTGCATTCGTACTGAAAATCTTCATACGATTCTATGACGAATATAAAACCCGCCTTCGCCTGTTCATCGATATAGCCATTTCAGTCGATAAAATATCAGCTTCACAAATCGCAGATCAAGACCAAATACTCCATGTCCCGTGGAAACTGTTCTTGAAATACATCGCGATATACAAACCCATTTACGTTGAGGTAACCAAGCTTGGAGCTCTGATCACTTTTCTGTCGTTATTCGCGATGTTTGTCTTTCACCATATGGTAGTTACCATGGAGATTGCAGATGTCCCCAGTGTGGCAAATGCCATCGGTCTACTCATCCTCTCGAGAATATTACCGACTCTGAATGTTCTTAGATCCCAAGAAAGCCAACTTACAGAGAAAGAGGAACTAAGATCAGAGATAAAACATTTTTTCTTGAAACATAAGACGATGACGGGCGAGCGTCTTGTGTTCTTGGTAAAAGCAGAAGCTTCGAGTACACCCTTGCTAGGATCTGATAGAGTATTGGAAGGTTATTAAGGGAGATGTACAAGTACAGTCACGATCAGAGGCCATTTTCACTCTTCAACATTCACCTTTTTTTGTGTTCGGGGGGGGGGGGGGATATGAATTAGTGCAGGATCGATTCCTTAATCACGTGGGGACGGCAACTCCTAATGTCCTTACATAATAATGGGGGTACGTTTATGTAGGTGCTCCTTTGCACGAAATAAGTAGGTCCTCGGTTATCATTTTTTTTCCCTGGAATATAATAACATGATTCCTCGATCAAAATGTGTGCGAGTATATGTGTTCTTGTGTGTATGTACGTAGACTACATTTACAGTATATGCTATCCGCCAATATAGCTGTCTGCGGCGGCGGGTGAAGGGGGGGGGGGGGGGCACATCTCTCCTCCGACATCTGGGCAATAATAGATAGCGGTTTTTGAAATGAAAATTTGCATAAAATTGGTATGAATCAATAGATGATGCACCAAAGTGTAAAGTGGTTTTTAAACATTACTTGCTTCGCTCGCTCGCAAATTGTAGAGAATGCAAGTTAAAAATTCTGATATTTTCGACGGCCTATTGATGAACTTTTACTCGTATTATGCCTATGTGTGCAAAAAAGACAGACTGTCGTTCAAACTGCTCAATCATCACAATCGTACGACAAATTTAATTACTCACGTAAGTAAGTAAATAAGCATACATGTAACTATGGATTTATTTCCGAAGATATATCAATTAAAACTAAACATAAATTGCATTCAAAACCATTTTACTTTCATTTTTCATGTAATTTCATCTAAAAGAATATAGCTAATTATGATCGATAGGTGCAATAAATATTGATAGATATCATCGATACAAACTTTCACGCCCTTTTCCCCCCCTCTCTCTCTCTCTCTACCTCTCCCCTCTCTCTCTCTCTCTCTCTCTCTCTCTTTCTCTCCCTCTCCCTCTTCCTCCTTTTCTCTCATATCCCCTCCCTCTTTCCCCCTTTTCTCTAGTTCTTACGAATAACGATAGGCCTACTGTCAGCTATAGGCCTTCAGTATTAAATTAATTTGATGCATAAGAGTTTCCTTGTAGTTTCACTTCAATTATCGGAAACAAAATATAATTACTTAGTCTCTTTGAATGAAGTACGAGGGAAGCCTCAGTGTAGCTATGAGGGGCACTAGGAGGCACGTTCCCCTCATTAAATGAAGAAATGGGAATGGAGGCGGGGGGGGGGGGGGTCAGGAGCTCTATTTTTTGCCAGGGGGTGTCTTTCAAATTATGAAACACCCCCCTTTTGTCAAGGGGGGTGTTTGAACACCCAAAACACTCCCTAGATACGCCCTTGACCCCAATCCTCTACCAGCATCACCACCATCTCTGTACTAGTTTCATAATATTCTTGGATTTAAAAAAAAAAGAGTACACACATTACTATGTTTCATAATTTATTGAATAAGAAAATACGCAGTATAAAGTACGAGTTTTTATGGGATGTGTCTCATTAAATTTCACCAGAAATAGAACAGGACGTACATAATCATACAATCACAGGAATATTTCATTTCATATTATAATTATTACTAACTGATCATCCCTATCTGTCCCTGTCTGCCTGTCGCCCTCTCTTATTCTCTTGAAAATGTTCTCATTCATATATTTCTCTCGCTCTCTCTCTCTCTCTCTCTCTCTCTCTCTCTCTCTCTCTCTTTTCTCTCTCTCTCTCCCAACCCCCCTATTCGGTAGTATCTTTACGACAGCCATACAGGTGTCTGAAAGGTATTTTAATTAGTGCACGTATAATATCACGACTCCTTTGTTTTGCTCCTTTGCTCTGGATGTAAATGACAAACAAAAATCGCTTTCAATGAAAAAATGATGATACCCAATAATTCAACGTTAATTTAACATCATAGAACTCAAATATAAGCCAGAGACATGTCTCTGTATCAACCAATAGCAAATAAAATGTCACTCTTATATTTTTCTTTTCTCTACAGATCACCTATTTTCTTCCCCTCTCTTCTCTCTGCCATCTTCCCACCAGCTGGTCCCTTTTTATTTCTCCTTTTTTTAGTATCAATTATTATCAGATCCAAGTACAATGTTGAAAAATTCGTCGTCATTTCTAATCTCAATTTTCGTTTCTTGTCAATTTGGGTGAATTGTATTGGATTCTCTTATATTACTTTGAACAATGCAACTATTAAATCTTTGATTGTATCAGTCTTAAGAGGATTTTCTTTCAATAAACCGAAATAAAAAAAATAAAAAAAAATGTTTATTCAATATATATAAAATATTAATTCAATAATACATTATATAATATTTCAAAAGACTGAAATTACTTTACACGTTCAATATGAGTCAATCCGTCAGACGAATGTTATCAAGGGCAGATGATGATAAATTCTTTGCTATGAATAAAAAAAATTGCATTTCAGTAGTGTGACAAAAGAAATCTTTATAACCTGCGTTTGAAGAAAAAGAAGCTCTACTGTAAAGGTGTGATGCAGGTCGGTTAGTATACTAAACTTTGAGGGGGAAATATCTTGCACGTCAAGATTGATGGATGGTCCCATTCCACAAGTAATAAATGAATTTAGAAAAAATTAAACAAATTTGTAAGAAAAAGATATGCATCGATATTATGTTACCAGTACAAAAAACACTCTTTAAATCTTTCCTCTCTCGTTATAAAGGTATAGGGTTGAGGTCAGGTTTGACGTTAGGGATAGAGGTGGCCAGAGTTGAAATTAATAATAGTAACCCGGTCTATTGTCGCGAAACATTTTGTCGCAGCAGCCTGAGCAAGTAGGGACTTTTAGATTGAGTGGACGAGAACACGACGAACGCGACTGACCATGCGTGTCAACGTACTGAACTACCCATGTTGACTACAATTAGAAATCTTTTAGATTGTACTCGACGATATACATGCATGCAGGAAGTAACACTATGAACATCACGGACAAAGAAAGAGGACAAAATATACAGTTCCTCTCACTATGAATATGACGGACAAAGAAAGCGGACAAAATATACAGTTCTACACATTTTTACATAATAGCAGTGAAGGGATGTTCCTTTGTCTACCTGAGAAACTGTATATTTTGTCCGCTTTCTTGTTCATAGTGTCTTTCTACCCTCAACTATTGCTGTGGTAGACAAAAGAACACCCCTTCACTGCTATTATGTAAAAATGTGTAGAACAAGTGAATATGCATGTGACACCTGTTCTACACATTTTTACATAATAGCAGCTAGGAAGGGATGTTCCCTTGTCTACCTGAGGAACTGTATATTTTATGCGCACGCGGCATACTAGTTCCTTGAGCATGTTTATGTAAAGGCGCTATTTAAATTGTATGTACTAGATTCAGGAAAATCAAGGTTGACGCATTCTTGATCGCCGACTGAGACGACGTGACGCATGCGCAGTGCCTTAAAATGACGTGACACGTTGCAGTCAAAGCTGTCGACGTGCAAATTTAAAAGTCCCTAGTGTCGTAGAACTACTTCGTCATTTTCAATTCTGGCCGTTTGACTGCCCATAGTAATTCAGTGATTAAAACGACGACTCAGTTTAACCTCCACTTCCGTGTTTCCGTGCCTGAAAGTGTAACGATTTATCACAATAAGATGCCTTGAAAGCCCTGGTAGTGCTAGCCATCCCACGAACAACGATTTACTCTCGAGTCTCGTGGTAGAACTATTTTCTCTTGGCGGCTCTGTAATAAGAAAATATAAGCAAAATCAATCATTCATTAATACGTATGTTGTCCATTAAACCCTTATTAAAGAGAATATGGTGGAATGACTGTCTTGTTCTATGCTTTATGTTATCAATAATTCGATGGTATAGATAGATGGCGACTATATTTACACAAAGCATTGCTATTTGAATAGATTACTAGGTATTGCTTATCATGGGCAATGAAGCTCGCAAAAATGCATAAACTCGACAATGATTTTGTTTTGGTCTTCATAATTTTTACAGAATACATCGCATTTTATTTCACTTGATGCCACTTTCAAAAGAATTGCTGATATTGTAGGAGCTGTCAATTAATGTCAATACGAAGATGACAATGGCTTTGAATTTGTATTTGGGCAAAATGATCTTTTTAAAATAACCAATCAAAACCCTTCCGAAGATGAACAAATAATTTGGCAAATGCATCATCTCTGATTTCTTCTTTAGTTGGCATAAAGGATTTTCGAATAGAGGGGTTGGGGGGGGGGGTGTTCCTCCACACATATTATATCTTCATTTCCTAACCTTTTGATTTGCGGAAGTCCAGCATTTGGCGGGGGAGGTTCACCGTCATCATCATCTGATAAACATTCCTCCACAAGCTATACATGAAAGAATATAGTAAACACGATTAGCATGTTAGAAATCAGAGACGTTTCTCAATTCGACTGCTCTGCTTGTACACGACATGAATCTCTTACCGCTGAGATGATAAAAGATTCATACATGATTGTGGATTAGTGAACAGAAAACTAACGGGATGCTATTTGGTGAGATTCGAAGCTCTGCAATAATTGTAAACTACATAATTATACCGAAACGATCTCCGTGCTCACGCTTGTGGGTTATGCGTGGATAATTGCTCCTCGTGATTGATAGGCCCATTTAATTCTTTAGAAAGCCAATCATTTAGTACACACAAATTTTACCTAACTGTGTCTTATTTCCCAATCAAATTATATACCCAAAATGCACATGCAATGTAAACAAAAAGTTTTTATCTGAAATCTAATGACAGACTTCATTTCCACTTGACACATATTTTTTTGTCAGGTTTGCGATCCTTTTTACAAAAACTGTTAATCCGTCCCCTGCTGTGTAACACTATAGCTACGAGGAGGGGAGAGGGGGTGGGGGAGGGGCATTACACATGTTATTTGGCGTTAAAATACAAATTTGGTAACACGATGGACACAGACTGTACCTGCTGGAGGTCTGGGAAAAAGGAATTATGTGGAATAAAGAAGAAAATGAACTTGAACTTACTATTTCATGGTTTTCTTTGCTGCACATGACATTTGAACTACCGATAGCAGCCACGAATGAAATAAGAATCTGAAACAATGCGATGATCGACAGGATAACTGCTATCGCCATATTCAAACCCTGAAGAAGAAACAAAATATGAAACATGCTTATTGTTAGGGATAGAGGAAGAAAAAAACTAGTAGTCTATAATTGAAACACTTACAGGACTATTGCACTAAGTCTTATGAAATTTGTTTGATTAACTCTCCGTGTTTAGCAGGACACAATTAGCTTCCCCAATCAAATTTATCAAGAACCCCAATTCGTATCAGGTTATTATCAAAACTCTATACAGCATAATTATTGTACACAGAAAATTAGAGTACTTGCATGTTTTCTATTTCCTGATATAGTAAGCAATTATAATGAACCCGGCGAGCATGCTGAATTTGGAGGTAAGGTTTCTTAGGCCATTAAATGCCTTATCATCAGAATCATTTCCGATCTTAGAGGTAATTTCTAACTTTCTCCTTTTAATATTCAGATTTAGTCTATCAAACTTCACCTTCCCTTTTGAAATAGTTGAATGCAGACCGCTATGGTTCAAACTAATGCCATCATTGGTATATATTGAATTTAAATTTGTCATGATAACGTCCTTAATCTTACATGTGTACGTCATCTCACCTTTGTTTACTCTGATGTTTACTTACTATTTTGTGTATTTGTCTTGTTTGTCTAAGTAATCTTTACTTGGTTATGATTTTTCTTATATTGCTTCTTCTTCCTCACCCTATTAAACCCTTAATTCTTGAACTTTTTGGACATTTTATTTCTGGTTATCATCAGATTCAGATTCGAATTCCAATGAATTCTTTATTTTTGTATCAAAGGATTTATCATTATTTTGATTATTATTATTTCTTATTTAATAAGTATATAGGCCTATATCATATAAAGGAAGGAGGCATAATTCTCTATTCAAAAATAAAATAAAATCGCAAAGCCTGTTATACGATCGATATAACGAGACAATTAAGATAATACATTACACAATGTATACATCAATATGTAAAATAATGATGTAAAATGGAAAGAAAAACATCTCAACTGACATAATTTTGACTGCAATCTGCCGGAACAACGTCGCTTATGTTCGTCGCTGTGACGTCATCAGATGTCGACCTGACACTGGATTCTGAGCACATCCTTTGGAGTTCTTTAGATGACTGGACCTCGAGACCAAACATCATACAGGATGTAATACAAGCGAAGATAGATACCAACATGTACAGATAGACCTGCAGGTTAAAGGTCACACCATACAACAATTTAAAAACTAAAATGTTAAATTACAGTTTAAAGGGGGGGGGGGGGAGTGACCACTTTTTCTGAATAATATATTAACACTTTGAAAGTTCTGGCCCCAACACTATTTTTTCTCTCGAATATAGCATGTTAAAAGTGTTAATCTGACATTTTGAAGAGGTGGTCACTCCTCAGCCCTTTAAAAGGGTAATTTATCAGTTTAGTTTTTCGAGTTAAGATGTACTAAAAGAGAAGATAGACATGAAGATTAAAAGTCAAATAGAGTCATTATCAAGTGTCATGAGGAATACTTTCTGATATTGTACTTATTTCAGAAACAAAAAAATAATTTAACAGTCATTTAAATGATAATTTACCCCTCGAAGAGTAAGAATTGCAATGATAAACATGGATGAATATTTCACACAGATACTTCTACTACTACTACTACTACTACTACTACTACTACTACTAGTAGTAGCAGGCGCGTATCCAGGATTTCTTAGGGGGGGCCCGAATTTCAAATTATGCGAGCCAAATATTGGTACGTAATGGTGACCAACAGTGACGTAATGCGGGGGGGGGGGGGGTCGGTGCAAACGCGAAACGCGGAAGCTTTGACGTTTTATTAAATTATTCGAGAAAGAAGACGACTCGTTGTACCGTTCTCGACTCTTAATCTTCGTCTGAATTTAGTTTTTCCCCTCCCGCGCGAAGCGCGGAAAATGTTACGATTTATTAAATTATTAGAGAAAGAAGACGATTCGTTGTCGAGTTCTCGACTCTTAATGCCTGTCTAAATTCAGCCCCCCTCCCCCTCCTGCGCGAAGCACGGAAGCTTTGACGTTTCATTAAACTATTGAAGAAAGAAGACGATTCGTTGTAGAGTTCTCGACTCTTAATCCTTGTCTGAATTCAGGTCCCCCCTCTCCTCCCGTGCGAAGCGCGGAAGCTTTTAAATTTCATAAGATTGTGAGAGAAAGAAGACGATTGGCTGTACAGTTCTCGACTCTTAATCCTCGTCTGAATTCAGGTCCCCCCCCCCTCCCACGCGAAGCGCGGAAGCTTTTAAGTTTCATAAGATTATGAGAGAAAGAAGACGATTGGCTGTACAGTTCTCGACTTTAAATCCTCGTCTGAATTCAGGTTCCCCCCTCCCGCGCGAAGCGCGGAAGCTTTTAATTTTCATTAAATCATTAGAGAAAGAAGACGATTCGTTGTACCGTTCTCGAAAATAATCCTCGTCGGAATTTAGTTCCCCCCCCCCCATCCCGCGCGAAGCGCGGAAGCTTTTACGTTTCATTAAATCATTAAAGATTCGTATTACCGTTCTCGCCTCTGAATCCTCGTCTGAATTCAGGTTCCCCCTCCCGCGCAAAGCGCGGAAGCTTTGACGTTTCATAAGATAATGAGAGAAAGAAGACGATTCGCTGTACCGTTCTCTATACTCTTAATCCTTGTCTGAATTTCAAAGATGTTCTTTGTCTGCTACTTTTTCTTCCTACGTCCTCTTCCGATTTTGGGGGACCGCGGTCAGATAAGCATTCAGGGGCCCGCCTTAGGGCCCCTGGTGGGGTCGAGGCGGCGGAGCCGGCCCGGAAACTCAGGGGTTTTAGGCGTTTAATTAAGGTCAGATGTGCATTTTTTTTAAAATACTTATATTTTGTGACACTGGAAGGTCACTATTTGGCGTAGGGTCCACGGGGCGGAGCCCTCCAAAAGAGGGGTTTTAGGCATTAAATTACCGTCAGATGAGCATCTAAGGGCCCGCCGTAGGGCCCTAGGTGGAATCCAGGGAGCAGAGCCCCCGAAAGCTTTGGGGTTTTAGGCATTTAATCACGGTCAGATGAGCAATCAATATCAGTACGCCAGTATCTCCTCTTTTCCTTTTTTCTTTCCCTTTCCTTCCTTCTCTCTTATTTTTTTGAGTGGGGGGGGGGGGGGGGGGGGGGGGGGGTCAACAGCTTTGGAGGCAAGGCCCTTTCGGCCCCCCGATCTCCTTCTTCCCCCTTTTCTTTTCTTCTTCCTCTTCTTTCTTTCCCTTTCTCTCCCCTTTCCCTTTCCCTTCTTTTCCTTTTTTCTCTTTTTTTTTTTTTTTTTTTGCGGGGGGGGGGGGGGCCAAGGCCCGCTCGGCCCCCCTGGATCCGCGCCTGA